GTGTGTGTGTGTGTGTGTGTACTGTATATCAGATGACTTGTAACCCAAGCCGTCTGTCCTCCATGTGCTTTGGGTCCCACACAGATACACACTCTATCTTTCTATCCCCCTCTCTCTTTCTCTCTCTCTCTCTCTGGGGCACTAGTGACATAGTGAAAAAAGTAAGTGTGTGTGCACCAGTAACCTGAATCGTTCACTCATGCACTATACTATTGTCCTTCTACGGTCAAAACAGTGGATGTGTGTACATGTCACCCACTTTCTATTTCACTCTGCAGCAGGCAGACAGACAGACAGACAGACAGACAGACTCACACTATAATACTTCCGATCTATTAAATAGTGCAGCTAAAAGTGGTAAAAGAACCTGCAGTAAAACAGAGTTAAACTCATAATTGAATGTCTAAAACCAGCATATTCAGAGTTATTAGTTAGATTACACACAGCACATTCTTTATGCGTTTAACTTAGATGTTTATATATAATTTATAAATCCTTCGACTTTATCCAAGCAGTGCTAGAGCACTCTGTTGCTATGACGCCAACACTGCATCTGTATACCCACACTACTCCTGTTTATTCAGTAGGAACTAAAATCCTTCTTTCCTCAACTTCACCCAACAATAAATACATGAAATGCAAAAATACATTGGGGTAAAAATGTGTCTGTGCAATGCTCTGCAGCTAAATGCCATTTATAGCACAAACATTTAAATAATTTATTGCATCTGCACTGGAGGCTTCAAGAATATTATGAGTTATTACTATATGACATTTATGGCTTTGAGTGAATCACATTCAAACTATTCAGTATTTGCAACAGTAATGTTACTTTTCCATTTAAAAAACACAAAGCTAAACCTCAGTTAATGTTGTTGGATTTTTTTGATGCCATCAACTGCTTTCACTGTCTGATGTTATCAGCAGCAACAGCATGATGTAAAAATGTGTGCAGGTATGTTCGCTCCATAAACAAGATCCAATTTAACTCCCATTAAACAAGAATCTTCACTCAACCACGTATTTAAGCTCAGGATGTGGAGAGGAGAAAATGCACGGCTTGACTTTAATAAAAATAGCTTTTCAAGTCAAGGTTCAGCAGTAAAAATAATAGTGAGCAGGAAAGGTACAAGGGGCACAGAGATGGGTATGGACCCTGTATTTTATCTTATTTATTTTTTAAGAGTTTCTGTTAAGGTGTCATTAGGCATAAAAGATCATCTCTAGTAAAAATTTCATTTGTACAGTTTTAGAAAATACTTGGAAAACAAGACAAACAATATGCAGTGCAGGGGCAGGCAGAAAACCCAGTGGGCTTATTTGAATGCTTCTACTTACATAATATGAATGTAATCAAAATTCTGAAAATTACATGAATGAATCCACTTATTAATTAAAACAAAATGTGTAAAATAGAAAATAAATAAAAACAAGGATTTTATAATAACAGCAAAATATGTGTGTATGTGGATAATGGTGTGTTTGCCTTCACAAAATATGTCAAGTGGTGCATATACATATATTGTGTTGATTTCCCATCTTTGAATCCTACTTATTAAACTCAGCTCAGAATACATTATACAATAATCAGAAAACAATAACAAATTTGCACACACATAATTATTTTGTCTGCAGAAGCAGTTGTTTAAATGCTGAATCGATCTAAAAACTGTGTGCACGGGCTAAAGTACGCCTGTCCCATCCTAGTTTGTGTGTGTGTGTGCGTGATTGCCCAGTCATAATCATAATCACGATCAAAGGGATAAGTCCAACGTGATGTGTTATCTCACTGCTAAATATAGTGCAAGTGGAAAACACAGTTGCTGCAGGCTTATGCTTCTCTGTCTCTCTCTATTCCTCTCTTCCCTTCTTTATGTACAAGGTAGCTTTTTGACCCTGTGTGTGTGTGTGTGTGTGTGTGTGTGTGTGTGTG